ATTAAAAATAAGGTGTTTCCTTGTTCAACCCAGTTGAAGGGAAGTCACCACCACCACGACCTCATTACTGCAAGCAGGAAGGGGGACAGGGATATTGGAGAGCATGTCGCCTCTTAAGGACAAGAGCTGGGCATTTTCTACATCTTTTCTGTGCCTTTCCTTTGAGCGGAATTTAGTCACATGGTCAAGCTTACCTGCAAGGGAGCCTGGGAAATGTAGTCTCTAGATGGGTGGCCATTTTCCCAGAGAGAACCTAGGTGGTCCTATTACTATAATAAGAAGAGAAAAATCGACGTTAGGGACTATGGTCAATAAGATAAAACTCAAAAGCTCAGCAAGGGTCAGTCAGGAATGCAGGGGTTTCTAGTTCAGCGGTGTTGTCTGGTGGCCTCGGGATCCCCAAGACCCTTTCAGGTGATTTGCATGGTTACAGTTCTTTTCATAATAATACCAAAATGTTATTTGCCTCCGCCCCCCCACCAAAATGTGGAGTTTTCCTGAGGTTACGTGATGTGTGATGACATTAATGGTCTGACAGCTGATGCAATATGTGCTTGTGTATTCCTGTGATTTAAAAGTTTTGCAATTTGGGGGCGCCTGGGTGGCTCAGTTAAGCCTCCAACTTCACTCAGGTCGTGCTCTCACTGTTTGTGAGTCCGAGCCCTGCATCGGGCCCCGTGCTGACGGCTCAGAGCCTGGAGCCTGCTTCCAATTCTGTGTCTCCCTCTCTCTCTGCCCCCTCACCTGCTCACATTCTGTCTGTCCCTCTCTCAAAATTAAATAAATGTTGGAAAAAAATAAAAAACGTTTTGCACTTTTAATTGCTAAAATTGTAAAGATGGATAGATACGACCCATGCAAACAAAAGTTCTTTGTGGCCGCTGATATTTATTTATGAGTGCCAAGGGGTCCTGAGACCAAAAAGTTTGAGAACTCCTGTATGAGTATTTAGTTCCACTTAAATTCAAATCTGGAGATTTTGGGCCATCCAAGCGTTGTGAGTTGGGGCTGAAATCTCACCTGAGGGCTGGCCAGTCCTTAGAGCTTCTCAGAGTCAGCTTTTCTCCTTCTCCATCTTTACTTATGACAGTGCTGAAGTTTACCTGAGCCTTGTGCATCTGGAAGACAGCTATGGTTAAGAAATCCTCCCTCGGCTTTTGCGTTCCAGGAACTGGCTTATTGCAAAGAAGCCATCTTCCCCATGATTTAGATAAGAAGACCCACCCCCAGCCCCCCACCGATGACCCCCTTGTTAACCTAAGACAGGGCCATGCACAGCCCCTTCAAATTCCCCACCCCTTTTTTGGAGGGTGGGGATGGGACCCATAAACGATTAGCTAAACTGTTTTGTCCCCACTGATCCATCAGAACAAAATGTTTGTTAACCGAACCTCGGTTAAGCCGCGCCTCCCCCCTACGCCGCTCCCCAGAATCTGGAACTGTAGTTCATTCTCAGCCTGAACTCTCCTCCACCTTGTAATAATCCTTGCTAATAAAGTTTCTCCTGACCAGGTCTGAATTTTGTTTTATTAAACACTTTTATAATTTTTTTAAACTTTATTTTGAGAGAGTGAGAGTGGGGGAGGGGCAGAGAGAGAGAGAGAGAGAGGCAGAGACAGAGGATCCCAAGCAGACTCCTCACCGTCAGCACAGAGCCCGATGCAAGGCTCAAAATCACGAACCACGAAACGGTGACCTGAGCCGAAACCAAGAGTCGACGCTTAACCGACTGAGCCACCTAGGCGCCCCTAAAACTGATCATTTTATTCTTTTTTTTTTTTTTTTACAAAGATATCCTCTTTATTTTTTTTTTTAACATTTATTTATTTTTGAGATGGGGAGAGAGAGAGAGAGAGCATGAACAGGGGAGGGTCAGAGGAAGAGGGAGACATAGAATCTGAAACAGGCTCCAGGCTCTGAGCTGTCAGCACAGAGCCTGACGCGGGGCTTGAACCCACAGACCGCGAGATCATGACCTGAGCTGAAGTCGGACGCTTAACCGACTGAGCCACCCAGGCGCCCCAAACTGATCATTTTAAAGTGAACAATTCACTGGCGTTTGGTACATTCACAATGTTGTGCCACCACCCCCTCTACCTAGTTCCAGAACACTCCCATCACTCCATGCCCATTAGGCAGTTACTTCACATTCCCCTCACCCCATTTTTTAAAATGTTTATTTTTGTGAGACAGAGAGAGAGAGAGAGCCTAGAGAGAAAAGGGGACAGAGGATCTGAAGCAGCTGCCTGCACGCTCTCTCTCTCTCAAAATAAATAAGCTTTAAAAAAAAAAGGAAAAATAGGAAGCCCTCCTGACCGCTGGTTGCTACCTGGCAGGAAAAGTGCAAATGTTGAGGCCTAAGTTCAAGTTCACCTAGCATTTCAGTGCTAACGCCTGTCTTGGGTTCCCACCCCATGGACTTTGGCCTGGATGGTCCCTGACTACGGCTGCCCAGAAGATAATGTTCATATTTTACTTGTCGCCTCTACATCTATTTAAGTGGGTTTGTTTGCACGATGGAGAATAAACACAGACTCTTTATCTCCACCTCAGACTCATTCTGTGACATAATGAATTTTGGGCCTGCTTTGCCACGCCTTTAATTTCCATCGTACATCACAGGAAAACAGGAGGCCAGGGCAGCTCAATGGTGTTGGCTGAAATGGAGAAAGGACTAAATTAAGCTTTGCTCAACAGTAAAATTAGGAGCATTTAGTGGTTTTTCTCCTGGAGAAGTGAGGCAGAAGCTGGCAGTCCACCGCTGTGTGGACTGAACAAGTGTCTTCACCTCCCCGAACCCGGGTTCCTTGTCTGGAAGTCCGGGGATAGCAGGCAGGGACCCTAGAGGCGGCGTGACATGGAGGGAGATCACTCTGGGTTTGGAGGGAGTCCGGCCTGGGTGCTCACCTTTGCTCCATCATAATCTTTCTTTGCGAGCTGGAGGGGGGAGGGGGGAGGAGAACGGCGCAGCAGGGCGCCCGTTATGGAGTCAAAGAATCAATTTAAAGGATTCTGATCAGCGTTGAAAGACAGGAACAGTATAAAAAAA